CTCTGCTCGAAACTTCATTGAGTCGCCATCTGCGTTGTTCGAAGGTCCGCCCATCCAACAAGTACTCCCAATACCCAAAGTCACAGATAATGCTGAACGCATGCAAGAACGGCCCCGGTTTGGGTAGGTTTGAGCTAAAACGCACGTGGGGATCTGCTTGCTAAAGATACATTCAGAGGTGTACTGACACAAAGTGCACTCGAAGAAGGTAACACCATCCAAACTCAAGTCTCCGTACCCGAGGTCGAACGCAACACGCACAAACGGCGGGGAGGAGGTTCTGTCGTCCCAAGGAGAATGCAGGAGATGTTCGAGTCATCGCAGAAGCTGAGAGCCGACGCTTTTCAAAAAGGTGCAAAAGAGCGGAATCACACGTTCTCAGTAAACGAGGCAAAACGCGAGGACAATTTTGACAAAGCGCAGCAGAAACGGAAGGAAATCTTTGACAAGGATGAAAAATCGCGCGAACTCGGCTTCGAGGAAGCCCAGGAGGAGCGCGAATCTGAATTCCAGGCCAACGAACGAAAGCGAGACGATGATTTCTACCAAAACGAGGCGGAAAGAAACGAGCGAGCGAGAAGGGCGCAAGTGAGCAGGGCGAGGCAGTTCGAGTCGGTGATGTCGGAACTGCAACAGCAATGCATTGATAATGAGCGAGATAGATTGAAGGAGCTGAAAGTTCTGGGCGAGGAGTTGATCACGAGTCGAGAGCAAGGGCTGCCATTGAGTTATGAGAAGTTTCCACGTCGGTCTCTGCATCGTTGGGCATGGCCACCAGTGGAACGGGATGGTTCATTCCCCACTTCATCGAATCGGAGGCTGCCTGGGGTGAAGCAATCGATACTGCCACCCATGACCTCGTCACGCCCAACCGCGTTGTTTGTTTGAAATGCCTTGAGGGAGCGTCAGTCATCCACAATAGACGCGGAGAGGTGATCGAGCTCGGCCTTCAGCTTTGCTTCTCAATACGAGATAGATATATAGTCACCCACTCTCCTAGCTTGCCAAGAGTAAAAAAGCTCACAATTCACTTGGATGTTTGTTCTCACGGTGTCGCACTTACCTCCCACGCCAGTCGTCACCTAGGTCTTAGGAGCATCATGAATAAATAATGACATTCAAGCTCACCAGTGCTAATATGTAATAAGATCAATCATCAAACTTCATCAACAATTCCGGCAGAGTTCAACTCAAACTCAACGTCTCAACAATACTTCATCGTGTAGTGGCGCGGTTCACACAACGAATCATACGAATTTCTCTCCACAAAGAACTCGCGCAAGGCTGTTTATTTTCTTAAGGTAGCTCGCCACGATCCCATCCACTCGTCCCCCTCGCAAGGTACCTCAAAAGCTCACAGCCTCGCATGCATGCACTCATCACAACCACAGTATATCATATCATTAGCAAAAGCAAAAGCAAGAAACCCCAACTCCAAAGCCCAACCCAACCCCCACACACACTACCTACTCCACCAACCTAAAAAAACCACCCAAAAAAATCAACCTCAACTCCATCAAAAAAACCCAAAGCAAAACAAAACACTCACATCGGCGTCCTCACAGGGCACACATGCACACTCGCATGCTTCCACACGCCCTCAATCCTATGAAACGCATTCAAATTCTTATGCATCGTAATCTGGAACACCGACGCGCCGCCCTGCCGGCTCGTAATCACCGAATACGCCAAAAAGAACACCCAGACCCTGTACCACCGCTCCCCGTACTTCGCGCGCACCTTCTCCGCATTCGCGACCCAGTTCTTGTACCACTGGTAGATGGTCGCAGAGTAGTGCACGCCGAGCACGTCCACGTTTTTGATCTCAAAGCCCGCGCCTTCGAGCTGCGCCGCGGCGTCCGTGGCGTCAGCGGGGGCGTCAGGCAGGGCGGAAAGACGCGCGACGCACCTTGTTGATGACCCAGCCGAGAGAGCACGAGGCGTCCGCGCCGGGGAAGACGTACTTGTTCATGAAGAGGCCCCACACGAGGTCCTCGAACTGCCACGGGGGGCGGATCCCAGCGACCTGGAAGACAAAGATGCCGTCGTCGTCGAGGAGATCATAGACCTGGCTCAGGAACTGCGAGTAGCGGCGGATGCCGACGTGCTGCGTGCGGGGGCGTCAATCGCGGGAGACAAGCGACGCACGCGCGCACTGACCTCGGCCATTTCGAGCGAGACGATTTTGGTGTACGCGCCCTTGCCCGCGGGGAGATCGCGGTAGTCGGAGCAGAGGATCCGTGCCTTTTCTTCCGAGACGCCGTTTTTCCTGATGCGCTCCATGCCAAACGCGGCTTGGTTGACGGAGAGGGTACATCCGGTCGCGTCGCAGTCGTAGTTTTTCGCGGCATAGGTGACGAGGGTGCCCCACCCGCAGCCAATGTCCAAGAGCCTAGAAGAGGGGTTAGGCGAGATCAGTTGACGGGGACGTACACACCTGTCGGTAGGCTTCAAATCGAGCTTCTCGCAGACGACGGCGAGCTTGTTGTCCTGGAGGGTCTCGAGGGACTGTTCGACGGTGGGGTCGGTGCAGATACCCGAGGTGTAGATCATCCTCGGGCCCAAGAACCATTCGTAAAAGTCATCGCCGCCTAGAGGATAGAATGAGTCAAGAGACACGTAAAGGAAACGGATAGGCTCACGATCGTAGTGGCCGCGGACCTGGTCCTGGTCCTGTTCTCGGTTGTGGGAGATGACATCGGGGATGAGAACGGTAAAGACGTATTTGAAGAGTTCGAGGGTAAAGTTGAAGCGTGCCCAGTCGTGGCGCTGCTCGAGAATGTCCAAGACGTCGCCTGCTACGTGTCAGCGTGAGAGCAAACGGGCAGACGCGTCACTGACCGTTAAAGTCGATTTTTTCGTCAAAGTAGGCATCGTGGAAGACCTGCATGGGGATCTTGTTTTTGCCATTGTAGAGTGCCTTGAGCTCGAGGTCCTTGACGGTGATGTACTGCTCAATGTTGTTGCCTGGGAGGACGACCTTTTCGTTCCTTCGCGCGCCGTACATGCTGATGAGCATCCAGTACGCGACGGTGGTGGGAACGCCGGTGAGGACGAGGAGAAAGAGGTACGTCTTGAAGCCGCCGCGGTTGACGAGGGGCAGGAAGGACTTGAGGAGGTAGGGGACGACGAGGATGGCGACGGCGAGGTGCTTGTTGTTGAATGCGCCATTGCCCTCTGCGAGGCCGACGAGGGGCGCGTTCTTTATCGCGGGGTATGCTGTCGTGCGCACGGTCATGGCAGGAGCAGAGAAATCGCTGGCGGCTGTTTGCGTATCACTTGCACACGTGACCGAGGTGTTGTTGGCGCCACGTGAGATCTGTGCACCATGCGCCACGTGACTGTAGATCTCTGCACCATGTCGCATTCGCCGCCGCCTCTGAGGCATCCAGTGCCGACGCACCCAGCGTACATCCCGGAGCCGCTGTCCGCCCCGGCGTCGCCCGACGGCTACCAGCGCTTCTCGTCGTCGCCGGGCCGGGCGTCGCCGCCGCAGGCAGGGTACCACGTCCCTGCCTACGTGCCCGCAGCGCCGGCGCCGGCGGCGGACTTTGGGGCGTGGGGGGTGAACGACGCCACGGCGCAGTTTGGGATGCAGCTGGGGCAGAGCGCGGTGGCGGCGGGGCAGGACTATGTGCAGCGGAACTTTGGGGCGATGTCGGTCAAGCACCACTTCAACGTGTCCAACTCGTATGTGATCAACAAGCTGCGGCTCGTGCTGTTCCCGTGGTTCCAGAAGCCCGCAGCCTGGCGCCGCCGCATCCGCCGCTCCGAGGCGCGCCAGACGGCCGAGTGGGCCAGCCCGCGCGACGACATCAACAGCCCGGACCTGTACATCCCCGCCATGGCCCTCGTCACCTACATCCTCCTCTGCGCCCTCTACGCCGGCATCTCCAAGCAGTTCCACACTAAAATCCTCGGCGAGGCCCTCTCCCGCGGCGTCGCCGTCCTCATCCTCGACTTTGCCTTTGTCAAGCTCGGCTGCTACTTTCTCAACGTCCCAGACTCGGCCTCCGTCATCGACATTGTCGCATACGGCGGCTACAAATTCGTCGGGTCCGTGCCTATCTCTATGCCATCTTCCAACCTCACCTCCCACAGTGTCATATTCGTCCTCGTCCCGTCCTTCCTCATCCACGCGCCCCTCATCAACACCGTCCTCTTCCTCTACGCCTTCCTGGCCAACGCATTCTTCCTGGTGCGTGTCCCCTCATCCCCCCCGCCCCCGCTGACCCCCCGCAGCTCCGCTCCCTCCGCTCAGTCGTCCTCCCCGACGCATCCGCCCAGCTCGTCTCCAGCCCAAACCCAACAAGCACAGCAACCATCCCCCCCGCCGCACGCCGTCGTCGCGTCATCTTTCTCTTCCTCGAAGCCATCTCCCAGTTCCTCTACATGGGTGTCCTTGTCCGTATTTAGATACCGTCCATAGGTAGATTATGCAATTCCACCCCTCAGCTGCCCTTGTATCCCTACCAGTGTACTCTCAATCTCACCACCGCGGGTCGATGGCGTAGTTGGTTATCGCATCTGTCTAACACACAGAAGGTCCTCAGTTCGAACCTGGGTCGACTCACGTTTCTTTTAAACATCTGTACCCCGTTCCCAGAGAAATAGTCATATTTTGCCGCATCAGAGTACATACATACTTTTGTC